TGAGCATCCCCTCTCCTAAATTCTTACACGACCCTTAAGTGTACAAAAAAAGGTTACTATTTCTTGGACACATAACAAAGAGGGCAATTAGCTGGAACCTAATTGAGTACAAAATCTACAGTCTGTTTCTCTCTAGGGTTGATTCATTGCCCGGAGGTTGAACGATGAGTAAGTTTCTAAAATAAATAAATCTCACTACAGTGTTAATCTCAGAGGCTTAACATATTTCAAGAGTTATGTCATGTCGTTTCTGTAGGGTTGGGTAGTCTGATAGCACATGGCTTTAGACATGATTAAAAAGTAATTTGCTTTTAGCCCATTCAGCATCAGAGTTCTGGGATGCCTGAAAACCTCCCAAGAGTTCACAAAGCTAAATACACACTTGCAGTCATATATGTCAAGTGAAGAAAACATATTTTAAAATTATAATTATCATTTTGTAATATTACAATGTATTATTTATTTAAAATATTTTTATCCCACCTTTCTCCTTAAAATGGACCTAAGGTGGCTTACATCATTAAAAAGACAGTATTCAAAAGCTAAAAACAGTAAGAGTACAAATAATAAAAAAGGATTTAAAAAGTATTATATTAAAAATGGTACATAAAACCAATACCTAAATATATTCTTAAACATATACGCAACATATACTAAAACATATTTAAACAAGAGACCATGGCCCTTGCATGTGACCATGATTTGGGGGGGGGGGGAACTGTTTTTGTTCTATTGCTGTTCTACCCACCCATCTCTGTGATGCCTAGCCCGACAGAGTCATGCAAGACTCGAGAGCAAGCACCTCTTTGTGAGAAGTTGTGCCAATATACGTATCACCCACTCTTGTTGTCGGACCCATAAAAGGGGTGTCAAAAGGAGATGGGAAAGAAATGCTAAACATGCTTTAGCTAATGGAGAAAATGCACCGTTTAGGAAAAGCATGTGATAAAATCTATCCTTATTTCTGCATGGGAGGAAAGGAACAAAGTTCTCACAACCTGATATGAAGCAGATGGAAGAAGAAACCACAAGGGGGGTTTAAAAAAAGCAGGAAAATCTATCAAGGCTCTTCCAGATGGAACATTTATTTTCCATAGTGTATGAAGTTTGTTGCCGATGTTATATTGTTGCCACTATCTACCTGACACAAGTCTTGGTGGAAAGCGTTACATTTAAGTGGGTGTCTTTTGCCTTTCCTAAATCAATGCTTTTCTTTGAATGGGACCAGTTTACTGATAATCTGAGAATCACATCTATACTGCGTTCCATGGTTTACTGAAAAATGGCAGAGGATACTTTTTGTCCCCATATGCGATATAACTATTGTCTCTTTCTCTTTTAATTTTATTTATATATTTATTAATTATTATTATTTTGGTTTGCAGACTTTGTGTCAAAGTAAAGACAAGAGGATAAATAAGATTCTAGTGTCCCTGTGAGGTTATGGACGTTTTATAGAAACAAGAGCAGTGTTTGGACACACTGTTGCTGCAGTTTATAGGATTCTACATTTGTAGTCTTCCCCCACCCTGTGTCATAAATCCTCCTTCTTTTGAACTGGAGCTCCAGATTAAATTATCTTGCTTATTTTGAGTTTACTTATTTGCTTTCTTCACACAAATCCCCCCCTTTTAAACATATATTTTGGATTTATTAAGCGACTGATCTTTGGTGCCAGCATGACAACAGAAGCTATCACTCAAACACCAAGTAGTTTCAATGGCCAGTTCTATTGTGGCAGGATTCTGAAAAAGATTAGTGGTAACCCACATTTGTTGCTATAACAGGCAAGCCAGCTAAATGCATTAAGTACCTGGGCAGACAGAGATCACTTGCAGTGACAACAGAGAGCTGTAAGGAGCATTGTCATAAACTCACCCAGGATCTAGCTCCAGTCACTCCTGAAATGTATGTTGTAATTTTTGTTTGAAGGGTCTTGTGAACTGCCAGTAAAATAAGGTGCACAATGTATGCCTGTGTAATCCACTGCTCTGGTCTGCTTTTCTTCAGATAAACTGATGCACGGAGGTTTGAGGGGGAAGAGCTGGGGAAGATGCTGTAAAGGTGCAGAATGGTCATGAGTACAGATGGGCAGAAGCCACTTCATCCCAGTTCGTAAAGCTGCTGCCCCCCCTTTCCTGCCTCCTCTGGCTCAATCAGCCACTCACCAAGCCCTGCGTGCGAGGCTTCCTGCACCTCCTGCACTGATCTTCCAGTCCCGGCAGGAGCTCAGGCTTCTCTGCCCCGCCCTCTTGGCTGATCGCCCACTCAGGCAAAAGGGCGGGGCAGAGAAGTCTGCGCTCTTGCTCGTGACTGGGAGATTCGCCGCGGAGGTGGAAAAAGCAAGCAAGCTGGGCCTGGTGAGTGGCTGGTTGGCTGATGAGGCAGGGGGTGGGAGCATCAGCATCTGTGCTGCTACCTTGATGAACTGGTTCGTGCCCATCTCTAGTCAAGAAGCTGCACAGGAGGCAAATTTATAATATTTGAGTCTCTTTAGCTTAGAAAAAAAGACAAAAGGAAGGAGAGTATGATAGAGATATGGTTACTTATAGTATGGAGAAAACTGGCAGGAAGAAGTTTTTCTTGTAATGCTAGGACCCAGGGTTATCCAATGAAAGTGAATTGTGGGAGATTTAGGACAGAAGGAAAGAGATTTGTCACTGATTTGTAAAATTTTACTTCTGTTCACATGCAAAAACACAAAGGCACAAACCCACACTGCTCTTGTCAGGTAGGATTGACCAGGAGGTTACCCGAGTGTTCTTTACTCCAGGGTAGTACAGCCACCATCTGGACTTTGAGCCTTGTTGCGCAGTGGTTAAACTGCTGTATTGCAGCCAAAACTGCGTTCATGACCTAGGGTTCAATCCCAGGTAGCTGGCTGAAGGTACACTCAGCCTTCTATCATCCTGAGGTTGCTAAAATGAGTACCGGGTTTTCTGGGGGGGGGAGCAATGTGTAGCCTGCATAATTACCTTGTAAACTACCCAGAGAGTGCTTGAAGCACTGTGGGGCGGTATATAAGCAGCACGCTTTGGTTTTAAGTCCAGAGGTCAGCAACATACGGAATATAGAGATACATGTAGACCTCCTCCTGTTTTTTAGTTTCCTGATCCCCACCCCCACCTCCGTTGTTGAAATTTGATGGGAGGCATATGACAGTAAAAACTAAAGTGGATGGAGTGATGGATTAGGATTCAAGAGACTTGGGTTCAAATCTCTGCCTGGCCATAGAAATTCACTGAGGAAGTACTGATAAAATCACTCCTTAAACATCTCACTTAACCTTGAAAGCCTTATTAGAGTTGCTGTGAATTGGTTCCAATTTGACGGTGTATAACAGTGCCTTCTTATTTATTTATTTGATTTATACCCCACCCATCTGGCCTATAAGACCACTCTAGGCGACTTATCATGCCAGCTGTTCTTAGCTTTTGGCTGGCCAGAGACTTGGGACCTAGTTGGGGATTTTCAGAGTTGAAATTTGTAGGGCCAACAGTTGAGAACTGCTATGCTAGATAATGGCACTGGGAGCTTTTGGTCCCAGATAGAGTCCCTTAAAAGAAAAAAAGAGGTAGGGGATCACCAGGATGTGTTACATTACATAAACATTGAGAGGGGGATAATGTCTAGCATGAGACTATTTGGGAAGGAGTGCAGAATCAAGAGGGCAAAACACATGGTTTACATCTTCACGGACCCAGATTTAACCCTTAGCCTTTCCATTTTAAAAGGAATTAAAAGGGTAGATTCCTGTGAACACCTGAAGAAGTGTCTTTAAGGGAAGAGTAATTTGATAATAGAATAAGTTACCTGGAAAAGTTGTGAGCTTTGTTTCAGTGGAGGCCTGTAAACAGAAACAGCCATCTTTTGGGGAAGCTCTGTGTCTGGAGTTGCTGTATCCAGAAGGAAAATGAACCAGTAGGAAAGTTCCCCTCCAACTCTGAGAACAGTATAGGGATTTAAAAAAAAAAAAAAAACACCAGCAGAAGACACCTTAATTTTCATTCCAGAGACTGTGCCATTTTTCGAGAGGTCAAGGGACTGATTACATCACCCACAGGACCTCAGAGGCCTGTTTGTTCCCTAAACCAGGGGTCCCCAACCCCCGGTCTGCAGACCACTCCCAGTCCATGGCCTTGCCAGGATCGGTCTGCGGAGACAAATCTGTCTCCCACATGCACAGATGCATTCACACCCTCCCACTCACGCACGAACCTTCTCCCATACACATGGCTCCTCCCACGGGTCGTCCCATGCATGCACAGCCCCTCGCTCAGCCCCTCCCACACACATGCCCTGTCCCACGCACACACAGCCCCTCCCACGCCCCCATGGATGCACACACACACATGGTAAACCTGTCTGTGGAGACAAAAAGGTTGGGAACCACTGCCCTAAACTACTTCCAGACTTAATTTTTTAAAGATATCCTGAAATTATCCATTGCACCCTCTAGAGACCACAACTGGCCATTTCAGGATTTTTCTCTCATAAGAAAAGAGTGAGGTGGTTGTAGTTCAGTGGGTTGCAGTGCTTAACTGTGGAGCCAGGGGCCAAAGGTTTGAGTCCCCACTGTGCTTCCTGGGTGGGGTGGGGGCGACTGAGTTCACCTGGATCAGGGTTGGCTGATGGAATTTATATGCCTTGCTAGCAATCTGACTGCGGGTCACCTGCATGGTGCCAAAGAACTACCGAAGACTGGTAAACCACTTATGAGTACTTTATACCTAGAAAACCTTGAGAGATTCCTGTTAAGTTGCAATTAAATTTATGGCACATGACAATGACAATAGTATAGTAAATAAGTTATAAATCGAGACCCAGTATGAAATTGTTTAGTCTCTTAAATCTCTTAATTATCTCTGAAACCTGAAGAGAGTAAGATGAGCTTTATACGGTATGCACGTCTTTCTGTTTCTGAAAGTTTCCTTTTTTGATTTTTAAAATATCTACCATGCCTCTTTTCATCTTTTTCTCTTTGCATATTCTCCTTTTAGATCATCTACTTTAGCCTTTGGTATTTCAACAAGCAGAACCAGCGCCGATGGGTAGACCTGGATAAGCCTCTCAAAAAACAACTGGATAAATATGCATTGGAACCAACTGTATTCTTTGGGGTGGTGTTTTATGTGCCTTCTGTCTCTCAACTTCAGCAGGAGATTACCAGGTGAGTGCCGGAATCGTAAATATAATATCCTGAAACGTATAGAACAAACGAAGTCTAGTTACTGGTTTGTGAAGTTTCTGGGCTTTTAGTGAGCCTCCACATAGCTGTACATGTGGATTGGATCAAAAGTCCATCTAGTCAGTTGTCCTGTTTTTTTCAGGAAGAAAAATTAGAAATCTCTGGGAATCCCGAAAGCAGGGCTTGAAGGAACACCTCTGGTGTTGCTGCCCAGTATATAATATTTAGTGGGAAAATGGAATATTGTAATTCTGTTCAGTCACCATCAGAGCTGACCCTCTCTTTTTTCAGGGTTGTGAAAGTATTCAGTCTCCACGGGGACACAGATCCACATAGTAGACTCTGATGTAGCCAAATGGGTCTCAATAGGCTACAGTCAACATACCCCCTAACTTTCAGCTCAGCTGGGTGGGGCTCTACTTCTCATGCGCACGGCTTTCCCGCTGCATGCGCATGTGACTCCGCCCCCCCATGCAGGGTTCCGTCATGACCAGAACCTAACACAATCGCTGCATGGAGGAGGAAGACAGCTGTGCAGAGGGAGGCAGAGGCAAGTGTGTGCGCGCGCTAGAGGGAACCTTGGCTGCAATATTATGCTGAGGTTCTTCTTGCTTGAAGATATTCCAGTGTGATCAAAGTATTATACATTTATATCAATGAAAACAAAAAGTCCAGATTGGCTAATACAATCTAAATTGGTGAATAGCAGAGATGCAGGTTTTTTTATATATACTCCCAGGCTATAGTATATTTCTTTGTGTCTGTGCTGTTGTGAAACAGAAGTAATGGAAAAACAAACACATGTTCATTTTTCATAGATATCAGTATTATTTGCAGTTGAAGAAAGATATCTTAGAAGGAAACATTCCTTGCACGTTTGAGCAAGCGATTCATCTGGCTGGCTTAGCTGTTCAAGGTAAAATGCTCTGTTGCAGCCATGTTTAAGTGACTTTAAGAGTAAGAAATTTGTGCCACTGCCTGAATGCACACTTTAGAGAAGCTTTATACCCAATGGGTTACCAACACTCTTTCCCCAGAAGTATTATTTTCTGTAGAATAATCTGAACAAGACCAAGAAGAATTCACAATAAGAGGAGCATCGTGTTTTCCCTGCTGGCCAAGCAGATGGCCGCAGGAAGCTCACAAGCGGGACAAGAAGCAGTAGAATCTTTCCAGCTGTTTCTGCAGGACAGTATTACCGTATTTTTCACTCCATAAGACGCACCTTTCCATAAGACGCACCATTTTTTTAGGAGAAGAAAACAGGAAAATATAATCAGGACAGTATTAATTTACAGGCCTACTGCCTCCAGTCCTGGAGATGGCATATGAATCATTGTGACTAGTAGTATAGGTAAAAGTACAATAGAAATAAGAAGTTATTAAAAAAACAATAATGTGGTGGCCCCTTAAAGACTAACTTCTATATTTTTTTTAATGTGATCTTTCCTGGATAAATTCACTTCATCAGACATAACTGTAACTGATGATAGTCTTCTTCATGAATTTGTCTGGTCTTCCTTAGGAGATGCCCATATTGACAGCCTTCATCTTGTTGCTGCGGATTCTGCAGTTTAACCTTGCTATGTGAGGAAGTATTTTTTATTTGTCTTGAATCTTCCACTTTTCAGCTTCATTCAAAGATCCTGTGTTCCTGTATTACAATAAAGGGATTGATGATGCTTTATTCTGCACATTCTGCCCAATTTTGTACTCCTTACATATAATACTTTAAAAGAAACTTAAAATGTCAAAAGTTATACCCTTTTCTCATAGGCGAGTTGTGCCAGCCCCATTATCATTTTCTAGTTGCTCTTTTCTTGTTTGTGTCACTGGTTCCCAGTTATATCCAATTGTTCTTGGACTGCAGGGTCCTCAAAATATAGCAGAATCACTCCTATGTCTTATATGTTGTTATGTGCTGTCAAGTTGTTTCTTACTTATGACTGCCCCATAGGTGACCTCAAATAAAGCTCTGGTGAACAACTTTGTTAAGCTCCTGCAAACTTGATGCTGTAACTCTTTTATGGAGTTGATCCAGCTCTTATTTACTTTTGTCTTTTCCTGTTGATTTCAGCTTTTCCAAGCATTATTCTCTTTTTCAGTGAACCTTGTCTTTTCATGGTGTACCCAAAGTATTATAGCTTCAGTTTGGTCAGTTTTGCTTCTAGAAAGAGATTGATTTGATCTAGAACCCACTTGTTTCTTTTTCTGCTGGTTGATGAGATCTATAAAATTATCCTCCAATGGCACATTTCAAATGAATCATTTTCCCTGTCAGCTTTCTTCACTGTCTAGCTTTTACATCTGTATACATAGAAATCAGGAATACAATAGTATAGATACTTTCCATCTTGGTTTCTGGTAATGCATCCTTGTGCTTAAGGATCTTTTTTAGTTCCTTCATAACCATTCTTCCATGTCTTAGCCTTCTGATTTCTTGGTTGCACTCTCTACTTGGATTGATGCTTGAACCAAGGTACAGGAAACCTTTAACGTTGTTTACCGTATGTTTCACTCCATAAGATGCACTTCCCCCCAATAGGAAACCTTTAATGTTGTTTACCGTATATTTCACTCCATAAGATGCACTTCCCCTCCCCCACAATGTGGGAGGAAAGTGTGTGCGTCTTATGGAGCGAATACTGTAAAACAGCGCTCCCCAGGGCCCCATGGGGATGGGGTGAGCTCAGAAGGGTCCTTGAAGGCACACTAGGACCCTTTGGAGGCTCCCCAGCCCCCCCATGGGGCCAGTGACGACAAAATCACCACCTTCTGGGACTCTTTTAAGGCTTGGGAAGCCTCAGAAGAGTCCAGGAAGGTGGTGATTTTGCCCCCTCTGGTCCTGCGGGGGGGTAGGGTGAGCCAACAAAGTGTCCTAGGGTGTGTTCCAGGACCCTTTGGAGGCTCCCCCTGCCCCCCTGCAGGGCCAGAGGGAGTGAAATCGCCACCTTCCAGGACTCTTTTGAAGCTTCCCAAGCCTTAACAGCTTCGCAAGCCTTAAAAGAGTCTCAGAAGGTGGTGATTTCGTTGCCGCTAGCCCTGTGGGGGGGCAGGTGGACTCTCGGAAGGGTCCTGGAACACACCCTAGGACCCTTTGGAGGCTACCCCGCCCCCCGTGGAACCAGCGGGGGTGAAATCGCCAACTTCTGAGACCGTTCTGTGGCTTCCTAAGCCTCAGAAGGGTCCTGGAAGCTGGTGATTTGGTTCCCCCTTGGCCCCGTAGGGCAGGGAGCCTCTGAAAGGTCCTGGAATGCACTCTCGGACCCTTTGGAGGCTTCCCCCACCCTCACCCCTGCTGGCCTAGCAGGCCGAAATTTCCAGATTATTTTTTTCCTGTTTTCTTTCCCTAAAGATTTGATGTGTCTTATGGAGCGAAAAATACGGTACGTTGTTATGCAGTTCTTCTGTTTTTGTCTTCTTAATATTCAATTGTTTTAAGAGGTTTTGGAAATGTTACAATTCTCTATGTACGGTTTTATTTTTTGCTAGCAGAAATACATTATTATATAGTAAACCAAGATTTTAAATAGGCTATGGAAAGAAATAATTCACTCTGTGCTTTACAGATTATTATAGGCTAATTTTATTATCTGGCCTTTGTATGAGAATATTCATTTGATCACTTTCCTGCTTATTTATATTTATTTAGCTCTTAGATGTTAACTGTTTCTAACAGTGAGTTTACATTGCACATTTTCTTTTACAGAAAGAATGAATATTCAACTATACCCCTGCTTTTGTACTTTCTTTTTTAACTTTCATTAGAATCCATTTCAAGTCATTGCTGCTTTCTGCCAATAATCTGATGTCATCTGTATATCTTAAATTATTGATGTGTCTTCCACCAATTTTTACTCCTTTCTTCTTCTGTATCTAATTTAGGTTTCTGTGTGTTATATTGTGCATATGTATCAAACAGATACAGACCAAACCTTTGCCCAAGGGAAACCACTCTGTTTCTCAATATTCTTTCCTAACAGTAGGAAAGAATATTGTCCATAATGGACAATTGCATCAGGGCAATCAAATGTTGAGTTATATCCATTTCTTTTACAACAGATCATAGCTTCTCATGATCCTCATAGTCAAAGGGTTTGCTGTGATTTTCTTCTGAATTTTTTATGTGCTCCAGTTAGCTAGCATCTATTTACAACACAATCTATAGTGCCTCTCACTTTTCTAAATTCAGCTTGAACATTAGGCACTCTCTCTCCATTTGTGATTGATGTCTTTGTTGCAAAACCTTGAGCATTAGTTTGCTTCCATGGGAAAGTAATGCAGTGTTCTCTGTACATAACTTAAATGGCATAATTTATCTACTGGAGTTTCTGTTACATAAATTACAAATGGGGCTTGAAATAAAAATGGAGTGCCACTGTGTGTGATGCTAGTCACTCCATTCCATCTCCTCAACCCCCTCGCTGCCTGGCGAGTATGCATTTTCTGATTCCTGAGAGCGCTCAGTCTTCATTGGCCTATTTAAAGGGGTTCCTCTGCACTTAGAGGTTTCTTGCTGAAGACTTTTTATTTTTTTACTTTCATAAATTTTGAAAATCCCTTCAAACTGTCTGTCCTTCTCTCAATCTTTGATTAAAAAGAAGAAAAGAAAAGAAAGATAACGTTTTTCTGAGAGAAGGGAAAGAGGGGACTGGAAAAATAATCACACACACTGCCCAGCCCCATTTCCCCCCTGGGCCTTCACATCTCTATCCACAGAACTAGCAATGAGATGAACAGTCTGAACATTGAAAACAGAAGGAATTATTGTTTTCTTTTTTTCGGTGCAGTTAAATATTTTTGTGGCAGTCATACTATTGTATTTTGTTTCTGTGCTTCTCTTTTTCTTTGCCATGAAAGTACTTTGATCCAGAATACCTTAGGTGTGAAATTTGCACCATTAGAATTCAACTGACTCTTGATCAATTCAGAATAACTGCTTGTAGTAAATGTGTTTCCTAGGGAGCGAACATTCAAAACTATTGCTCTTATTTTTTAAGATGTCTTTGAATAAGTACCTTATACTGTACTCCCTTTGCATGTCTGGCATGTTGGAGGGAAGTATACTTTAATACCTAGGAATTACAATTACATTACTGCAATCTTTAGATTTTGCTGCCTGACATTTTCAGCAAATGTCTGTATGGACTCTGTTCCTTGAATCATAACATTGACATTACCTAATTTTCTCCTATGTTTCCTCAAAAAATAATGATGATGATGATAGCTGATGCATAGCAGGAGCCTAAATAAGTAGTTCAAACTCTTTTTTCTTTCTTTTCTTTTCTTCTTCTTCTTTTTTTTTTGAAAATCTGGTTTTGGTTTAACTGCTAGCTGCTTCTTCTCTTTACTTAATGTAAGAGGCTCACTGGATCAAACTAGGAAGCTTTGTAGTTCAACATTCTGTTCTGACAGTGACCAGTCAGATAATAATGGGAAGCCCACAAACAGAATAGAAGGGTAATAATACCCTTCCAAGTTTGTTGCTTCACAGCTGATACTATGAAGTACGCAACATTATGGACATAGTGTAGTACTGTCAAAAATACCTGCAGTTGGTAGCCTTTGTTTTCTTCAGACACCTGGAATAAAATGAAATGCAGAATGAAATGCAGAATAACCACACACCTAAGATTCTTAAAATCAATGAATGTTGTGAACATTTTAATTGTGAACTTTGTATTTCATTCTGTATTTCATCTTATTCCATATGTCTGAAGAAGTGGACTTGATCCATGAAAGCCCACATTAAAATATAATAGTTAGTCTTTAAGGCACCACATGTTTTTGCCTTTTTTGGTTTTGTTTTGTTTTGGATTTTGCCTGGTAAACTAGCCATGATTGTGTACAATTCTGTGTCTAGGTGGTAAATCAATGTGTGCCAATCTCCAAGCTTTGTGTTTTATATTATTTCTGAGGCTTGGAGATTATAAGGAACTTCTTTATGTGCTTGACAGATTAGACTGAGGCTTCTTTCTCACTCTTCAAGTAATACTGCATTGTTAACGGTCTGTTAATGACAAAACCCTTTCCAGATTGTTGTAAATACTTAATTCCTGCCTGCTTCCTTTTAATTCCCCAGCTGATTTTGGAGATTATGACCAGTATGAATCACAGGAATTTCTGCAGAGATTTGCCTTGTTTCCTGTGGTAAGAGTGGTTTTCAATTCTTGCAGTTCTGCTTTTGAAAGGTTACTATGTGGAAGGAAGAATTAGGAAAATGCCATGTGGTTTATAGGCTTACACAAATACAAGAGTAGGGTGATACCTTTATTGAACCACTAAAAAAATCTAATAAATTGCAAGCTAAGCTTAAAATTTGTTTTATTTTTAGTGGTTCAGTAAAGGTGTCACCCTACTCTTGCATGTGTGTGGAAGCAAGAAATTGGTGTGAGGCAACCAGTAATGATATGAAATGATTATTGAGGAAGGTTATGTGATTTAGTGATGATAATGAAGAAGTGACATTGTTAATGATTTTCAGTACCTTGTTTCAATAATAGACTGAGACTATAACAAAAAAGAAAAACACAAAATGAGATAATAGATTATAACAAAAAAGAAAAACACAAAATGAGATGGAGACTTGGAAGGGGAGCCATGAAGATATTTCAAAAGATGCTTAAAAATAAGAGTCTGTTACTAGAGAAGGTCAAGACCATTTAAGTGATGGTATATCCAGTTTCTTTGTATGGATATGAAAATTGGGCAACTAAGAAAGTGGGAAAAGGTGATTCATTTGAAGGCTGAAATCCTGTTGCTTAGCATGGTAGGTTGCACTAGAGTAGGCCCATGGGATCTATGGGGATTTTGTTAGTCGACTCCCCCATAAATTCCCTTGATTCAAATGAGCCTACTCTAGATGCAACTGACTCATCAAATCTCCACTGATTCAGTGAACTTACTACACTAAGCAACAGGATTTCAGTCAGTAAATGGTGTTGGGGAAGAAATTTACAGTTACTAGGAATTATTGAAAAGATGAATAAGAAGGTTATAGATCAAATCAAGTGTGAATTATCACTAGAAACTAAAATGATTGAATTGAAGCTTTCATACTTTGAGCATATAACCCTTGAAGACAGGACTTAACTGGGAAAGAAAAGTTGAAAATAATATGGAAAAAGGAAAATCTAACCTGGGGTGGATTGACTCGGTAAAGAAAGCCACTGTTCTTAATATGCAAGAAGAGCAAGGCTTTTAATGATAGGATATTCTGGAAGTCAATAACCCAAATCTTGTTGCTTAGCATAATAAATTGCACTGAGGTAGACCCATTGAATCAATGGGGATTTGGTGGGTTAGCTCCTCTGTACATTTCATTGATTCAAATGAGCTTACTTAACTGCGACTTCATTTAGTGTAGTAAATTAGAGTGGGCCCAGATGAATCAATTGAACTTATAGAGGAGTTGACTCACTAAATCCATATGAGTTAAATGGGCCTACTCTAATGTGTTTTACTAAAGTAAAGCAACAGGACTTTGGCCACTGAGTCGTAAGAGCTGTAATAGATTTAAATGTATTTGATGGCATATAGGAAAGAAACAAGGCTCATGTCTTTTGTTTCATTCTTCAGGGTTGGTTGCAAGATGAGAAGATCCTGGAGGAAGCAACTCAAAAAGTGGCCTTACTTCACCAAAAGTATAGGTATTGGCCCTGAAATTGTGTCATGGTTTCAGCTCTGACTGTTGCTAGATGTGCATTGCTATGTTGGTGATATAATGCAAGGAATGGCTACAGTCCTGATCCTGTTGTTACACACTAGGATGGGCAAACTGAGGGTGCAACTACTCAATGAGAAAAAATGTGAATTCACTCACTGTGAAGTTGACAAACTGAGGGTGCAACTTCTCAATGAGAAAAATGTGAATTCACTCACTGTGAAGTTGCACCAGGTAAAACAGGTTTCTCTGGGTCTAGTTGAATTAATTGGTCACATAAGGAAAATAGTCTAAACAGCCCTGTTTGCAGCTTGTCAACATCACTCTCTTGTAGCCCTGCAGAAAGCATAGCTACAGAAGAACTTATCTATTTAATAAGATGTAAACAAGCAATTTCTTTTTGTTGGTATACTCCTCTTTCTTCATCTGAGCCTTACGTCGAAGATGGGATGCAAATCAAAACATAGCCATCAGGGAAATCCTTTACATGAGACTTTAACTATTATTAATGTTGTTATTTGATCAGTTGCCTACTTGCTTCTTTTAAATAGAGCCTCTGCAAAAGGCAATTCATTTTTTAAAAAATCAGCTTTGAGTCCAGTCTGCTTACTCAGGCAAATTGTCAAACAAGAAGATGGGTGATTTGCTGAGCTCAATTGTATCAATGGCAATCTTTTTGAAAGAAGAGCATGTAGGTGATGTCCCACAGTAGGGAATCAAGGGATTGAGCAAGTGAAGTCCCTCTTGACAGACTTGGTGAGCTTCAGGGTGATTTGGGATAGGAGAATTTGCCACACTGGAGCAAAGCTGTTAAGTTTACATGTTTTCCTTGTAGCTGTTAATTAAACATGCTTGGATTGCAGAAGGGCAGAAGGCAAGAAGTAGCTTAAGTCATGCTGGGATCCTCGGGGGAACATTTCTATGCATGTCTCTGTGCACACATGGATACAGGTGTTTGTTTGTGGGTATACACCTTCCCCTCTCTCCCTCTAAACATATGTACAGTTTGATCCTGCCTATGTATAGAAAATCAGTGACAGCACAAAGGAGGGAAATTTTATGAAAGGTACAGAAAGGGCAGTGTGCTTTTCACACGTCTGTGATTAAGGGTGGGATGTGAGGAGGAGGTGCACTGGATCAAGCAATGACACTGACTGAGATGCCAATGGATCCAGTTTTTAGAAAAAGCTAGACACTCCAGTAGGGAAGGCAAAACTACAGATTTGGGGGTGAAAGGGGGCTCTCCGGGCTGATTTACAGTGGTTTTTACATCATGTGGTCAACAGAAAAAATGTAGATATGTTCCCAGCACATCCCCCCCCCCTTTTTTTAGGAATAGCATTGGTTTTTCCCTTGAAACCTCGACTAAAGAGTTAGACTGAGCAGGGTTTCCAATAACCAAACAACCACCTTAAATGATAGATAGATGTCCTAGTTTAATGAATTGCCTTCGTGCCATAAATAGTAGAAACTAGTCACTGAATTGTGAAAGCAAGTAGAGTCTTTCCTCCTTATAATTTGCTTTATCTTGGGCACTACTCTCACATGCATGTAGTTTAGTCACAGCCTTGGGAGGTTGATTTTTGTAGGATTACAGGTTTCAGAATTCTTCTGCTGCCATAGCCAAAAGCCAGATGTACAGGAACCATCCTGAGAGTCATTGTCGAGAAACAAATCATTTCAAGTTCTGAATAATCACACTCATAATTGTTTCTCATGGAAGAAGCAGATTTTTAAGCAATAAAAAGATAGTCTATGATTGTATTCATATTTATGCTAGGGTACATACTCCCGTGGAAAAAAACTGATTAAAGATTAAACTGTTCAAGGAAATTAGTTAGTAAATGTTATTACTTTTTGTTTTAAGAGGTCTCTTGCCACCTGATGCAGAGATGCTATATATGCAAGAGGTTGAGCGAATGGAAGGTTATGGGGAAGAGAGCTATCCTGCAAAGGTAAATTATGTTTCATTCATAAATTTTATAATACAATAACATGTCTCTTATCTATATTTCATCTCTTTTTTTAACCTTTCTCGTGGCCACCATCTGGACTTTGAGCCTCATGACGCAATGGTTAAACTGCTGCACTGCAGCCAAAAACTGTACTCACAACCCAGGGTTCAATCCCAGGTAGCCGACTCAAGGTTGACTCAGCCTTCTATCCTTCTGAGGTCGATAAAATGAGTACCCACCTCCCTGCACGGAGGCAATGTGTAGCCTACATAATTAACTTATATACTGCCTAGAGAGTGCTGTAAGCACTATGGGGTGGTACATAAGCAGCACACTGCTTTTTTGCCTTTTCTCCATTTTTTACTTTCATCATTTTCATTTTTATTTTTATTTGCTTTCAACGGCAAAATGTTGTTATTAATTATAAAATTAATGTTCTGCAATATCTGAATGTTTACATATCGTATAATATATGAATGTTCAACAGAAAGCTCACATGATAGAAACAGAACAGGGTGTTCAGCATGCAAAATTATGAACTTAAGATATTACAGGTTCTGAATTTAGAAATAAAGTATTTCTTTTATAATACATTGAGGGGGTTAAACTCAGTTGCCTTAAAGGCCCCTTCCAACTCAATTATTCTGAGATTCTATATTATCATCTATTTTATTTAAAATACATTTAGCATTTTATATCACATTTATAAATGTTCACTATCTTATAGTGATGTAATTTTTTTCTGTAAAAAATATGATTTAAATGCAGTTCTTATAGCAGTTGAATATTTGTTCCCCTGCTGTGGAAAAGAAAACATTTGCAAATCTTTTTTATTATGTCTGGCTGATATTCAGGACAGCCAAGGAAGTGATATATTTGTTGGAGCTTGTCTTGATGGAATCTTTGTGAAGCACAAAAATGGTCGGCCTCCTGTCATATTTAGGTGAGTTTAATATCCTAATAAGATAATATTTTCAAATAGATATTTTCTCTGCTCATTCATAACAGCCTGGAGGTTGTGGGCAGAGTCTACTTCTCATGTTGAAGCTGCTTTCAGAAACCAAATCAAAGAGGGTGATGTACACATTGACTTCGTATCCGCTCTACCACCATGTCCACTATATTCCTGTTTCAGTTACTAATTTTTCACAGTGCTTTAGAGCAGTGGGTCCCAAACTTGGGTCCCCAGATGTTTTTGGACTAAAATTCCTGGAAGCTTTTAGCACTAGCTTTGCTGGCCAGGATTTCTGGCAGTTGTCATCCAAGAACATCTGGGGACCCAAGGCTGGGAATAATAGGAAGAACTAATAGAGGAACTGAAACAAGTCATTCTTTTGGACTTTTACTGCGCCCCAGAGTTACATTTCAAAAGTAATCTTAATGAGTGGGAATGGTCTGGCAGTGGTTTCCTGTTACATTTCAATGTTTCTTTTAAAGGACATTTTTGCAGACATTTTGACAGGAATTGTTCATGTTTTGTACTATTTTCTTAGCAATACAGTCTTTTCCAAAGTAGTGAAGACTGAAGAAAAATTAACCAGTAATGCAGTGAATTATTTCACTGTACCCGCCCAGAGTAGTGCTGTGACACTAATGGGAGCAGGATACAAAATGAATGAATGAACGAATGAACAAACGAATGAATGAATGAACGAATGAATGAACGAATGAGTTTCCAAGCTACTCATCTTGCCCCCCAGTCTCAGCTTTCTAAACATTTTATGACTCCTTGCACAAAGATGAAAGCATATCCAGAAGATAACTAATCAAATCATTCCACCTCTGAGGTGGAACCATAGAGACTCCTTTTAAGGAGAAAGTATTTAAATAAATACATAAGAGTTGCCAGAATGTTCTAGAAATACCAAGAAATAATTTGGCAAACCCATACCGTCTTTCAGACCCATTTAATTGTGATGAAATTATGTGTGAGGCCTTGAGCGTCTGTATTTGTCTCACTTTTCTTTCTCCACTCACTGCATAGGTGGCATGATATCGCTAACATGTCCCACAACAAATCCTTTTTCACACTGGAACTGACAAATAAAGAAGAGACTATCCAGTTCCAAACTGTAAGTGAGTGAGTTTTTTCTCTGTATGTACAAAGGGAAGCCATGCATTTACATGGAGTGTGTACTTGACGGATGTCTAGAACAGATCATTTTGATTTGTATTTCTAGTGTCATTTTCAAATTAGATAAGCAACACAGCTTCCGTTTTAATTTTTTTATTTTTTAAACTATATTTGTAGTAAGCTCAAGAAAGATTTTACTCAAATGTTCTTGAATCTCAGATGTTCTTCTCCACCTCCTCATTGGGAAGTAAAACCACCATAAGGTTGATGGAATGGAAATGCAGCCATTTACACATTTCTCGTGCTAATCCTAGGCCACTTGTTGTAGGATTTTTTTTCTGTATGAAAACTATTAGTGGATTCATGTTGTTTTATGTGTGGTGGGTATTTTTGTTTGTGTGGCTGTTTTTGCTCCTGGAATCATGAGTAGAGCTGGTTTGTGAAATAGCATAATAGTAGCCTACAGTAGATTCACTGTGGTTTATGTCCTGCTGGGACTTGGGAACCCTGAGTATTTGGCTGTGGAAACTTATGGGGCACTGGTGGGGCAGTGGTAAACCAATCCTTGAACTTCTCACATACCTTGGAAACATATTATGGTTGACATAAGTTGGAAAAACATGATAGAACATAAAACATGCACATATATACACACAGTCTTTCAGACACACTGTGTAGTTATATAATGAAAGGCATTTTCTGAAAGTTTTGGTCTGAAAGACAGACCCCCACCAAAAAAAAAAGGAATTAAAAGAAATGAAAATGCAGAGTAACATATCTAAATACTCTATTACATTCTCCTACTGGGCTCGGGGGGCCAAAGAAAAAACCAATCCAAGAAATAAAATTGATGCAGTGGTACTGGATTATGCATCAAACAGTGGACAAAATGTTTGTTGTGGGTTTTTTGGGCTCTTTGGCCGTGTTCTGAAGGTTGTTCTTCCTAACGTTTTGCCAGTCTCTGTAGCCAGCATCTTCAGAGGACAGCATCTTCGGAGGACCAGAGCACAGAGCACCCATTGGAATGACTTTTTTGCAAATCGCTATAGCGATCACAAAAACTCATCGTTATGCGGATTCGTCATTTAGTGGGGTTGTCGTCTAGCGAGACACCACTGTACTAGTTCCCCTCTGTTCAACACTAGTTAGGCGTCATCTTGAGTACAGCGTCCAGTTCTGGACACCACATTTTAAGAAGGATGCAAACAACCTGGAGCAAGTTCAGAGGAGGGCAGCAAATTTGATCAGGGGACTGGAAACCAGTCACTATGAAGAGAAACTGAAAGAATTGGGCATATTTAGCCTTGAGAAAAGAAGACTGAGGGGAGATACGAGAGCATTCTTCAAATAATTAAAAAGCTGGAGAAGCAGCGTGTGTTTTCAGTTATTCCAGAGTGCAGGACACTATGATGCTTTGTCTGCTGTCTTGTTTAATGTCTTATTTGTAGTTGTTGTTCTTATTGCAAGCCTCTCAGAGTAGTGACCTGGCTACTAAATTTAACGAAGAAACGAATGAAAGATAAACTCAAATTAGACTTAAGCTGAATATCAGGAAACACTTCCTAACTATTAGAGCAGCAAGACAAAGTAACCAATTGCCTCAGGAGGTGATGAGCGCTCCAGTTCTGGAGGAATTAAAGAGAAAGTTAGAAAACCGTCTGCATGATATATTTTGATTTTGATCTTGGCATTGACCAGAGGGTTGTACTTGATGGCCTTATAGGTACTGTGACAGCCTCCTCACACGTCTCAAAGGAGGTGCCACGTCACTCTCACACACTCACTCTATTCACGCTGCCACCAACCATTCCCTCAAAAGACTCTTCAGACTAATAAATGATTTTGAAAATAAAAACTTGTGTTTATGGGTTATAACAAAAGGAATGGTAAATCACTTTAATAACTCAAATAATAAGGCAATCAATGTAATAAAGTATCACTCACTCACACACTCTCTCCCAGACCCTCACTATATAGCACAGTTCTTCACAATAGGAACAAACCCTAACACCCTAACCGGTCCCTAACCGGTCCCTATCTAGTCCCTATCTTGTCCCTATCTAAAGCAATCACACCCATTCACTCCCCTTATATACACTGGCTCCACCCCTTATGTCCCACCTTCCGTCACGCTATTGGCAGATGACGTGCCGCTACAGCAATGACGGACAGGTGGCTTCCAAGCTACCGTAACAAGTACCTTTCAACTCCATTATTCTGTACTGCTTTGCTTAGCTGTGCGAATCCAACATATGAAGTTCCAAGCCGCCCAACATTTTATATGAATGGATATTATACAATGTGTTGCCTACATGTGGTTAACTTAGTTTATTTATGACTGAGATACAGGAGGAAGACAGGCCAAGGTGGTTTAGGAATTTAATCCTATAAATCTGCTTCATAGAAATGTGATGTCACTTTAACTGTAATCTGACCATCTATCCAACTTTGTGTTATCTGACAGGAAGATATGGAAACTGCAAAATATGTATGGCGAATGTGTGTGGCCAGGCACAAATTCTATAGACTAAATAAATGCAGCCTGTAAGTACAACCACCATGTGGTTTCTTTCATATTCACTCTAAATTTCTGTTCTGAGCATGTTGAGAGCCTTTTCCTCAGAATGGTTTATGTAGGAAATATTTTGCAGTGTACAGACAGAATCCTCTTCTGAGGTTGTGGAATTCTTGGTGCCCAATCTGAGATTAATGATTTGGTTGCAATCAACCATGGGAAAACATATTGCATTGCTTTCTGGAGCTTTGCACAAGAGATGGCAGACGTACTTCTGCCTTGGGATGCTATAGTGTTGTTTTTGGGTTTGTTACATTTCAGTAGAAGGTGCTGATATATACAAATTGAATCAGTAAAACAATTAGAGCTGATGTTGAATCAGCATTTTTTGGAAATAGTCTACAAGGGATTGTACAAGGAGGATCCAGGGTTTGCACATCCCCACTCTGTCTCCCTATCACCCATGCAAACTGAGCAATCACTTCCAGTTTTTTTGGGCTAGAAGAAGTGCAGTTGAGAGGGAATGGCTGTTTAGTAAGATTGATGCCCCTAGATGGCTCAGCAGTTACAGTTCTCCATTTATAACCAAAATTTTTTTTTTCATTGACAGAGGGGGTTCCAGGGGCTGCAAAGAAGGCCAGCTTGAGTCACTTGCATACTATACTCTTCCCCTCTGGATCTACTATTTTACATGCAAACCACAAGGATCCAGTTCTGTAGTGTAGTGGATAGTCATAGATTTCTATGCTGATTCATTCTTTAGGCTCTTTGTTTTAGTCAGTGGATTTAACTGTACAGCATTGTGAAGAAGGTACTTTCTTCTCTGAGGTTGCTGGAAATACTATAGAATTTGGTAAAGAAATGCCTTCTTATTGGGAGTGGCCAGCCAGAAACATTTAGATCTAACTCCAGGACAGTCCAAAGATATATAGGCAGTTTGTTTGCAGTTGTTGTCCAAAAAATGACCTACTACAAATAATTCACCAGTACTATGATAGGTAAAGCATGCAAGTACATGATGAATGGGGTGTAGTAGCCATTTGGGTAAATAAACTATCTAGAGTAGTGCTTGCACTAATGGGATATAAATCAGACAGACAGACAGACAGACAGATAGATAGATAGAAAGATACTCATAAGATTTTGATTTTTAAAATGGTGAATGTTTCCATTGTTTTGTCTGACTTCTCTTTCTTTATTATAAATGGCTAACATTTTACTCTCAAGCTACGAGGACCTGTAAAATAGCAACAGAGAACTTTTGGTTTTAAACCCGTATCTGCTGGCCAAAAAATAAGAGCTACTTCAGAGACCATAATTGTTCCATCCCTGTCATAGACTAACATAAACTGTGGAAGGTTTTCATGTCATGGTACTGTATAGGAAGGGCCAAGTGATCATGACCATAATGGAGAGGATGCCCTTCAAAAACTACCTAAAGATAGATTGAAATGTCTTCTCTGTTGATAACTTCATCCTTTCTTTTTCATGTAGTATTTCATTGTCTCCGTTTTGTCCGCATGTACCTTGTCTTTAGAGACTCCCCAGATTCTCCGCCTGAGGAAGGCTCTCAGAAATCTTTCCTCATTCTTTCCCTTCCACGCTTTCCAATCCTTTCTCGTCCTTCTCTGCCCAAAGGGTGAGCCAGAAAACGTTGTCTTTCTTTCCTTCCATTTTTCTTTGCATGCTGACTATTTGTAGGGCTCCCACATTTGGTTGTAGCAGGTTGTAGAGAGACTTCTTTGGTCTAAAAATTCCTGAATCCTCCAGCTACACTGCTTGAGAGATTCTAGAGTTGTAGTCTAAAAAGTGGTGTGACCTTGAAGTGGTGTGACCCCATACAGCCATCCCTTGGGGCATCAAATTCCAGAGTGGTGGAAGAGAAACCTCTTCTTTGCCTCTTGCTCCCTCATTGAACATGTGAGCAACATGTAGTAGCTCCTCTGACATTTCATTTCAAGATGATTACTGCTGATGCTGGCACTAGTTTGTGTTTTGTAGATATGCGTGAATGTTTCATGAAACTGTATAATCCCAAAATCAGACAAACACTGTAGCATTGTAGCAGAACCAATTGATTCTGCTTATGTCATGTTTTAAGAGAATTAGCTTAGGCAAGGTTTTGCACAGACCGCCTTATTATTCAGCAGGTTCTTCAACCATTTGCAACCCTATTTTGTATGTAGCCTTTGCACAGTGACAACAGATTTTTTTTCTGGTCACAAGAAGATAGAGGACAGATTAAGGACTTCTTAACTGAAATGCTAGACTGTAGGGAGCAACGTATGGCATGGATGGGGAGGGTCTGGCTTTACCAGTCTTGTTGGAGTACAGTTCTTTTCATTCATCCCAGCTAGCATATTTAAAGATGAAGGAGGATGAACTTTATAGTCCAACCTCTTCTGGTGGACCACACACCTCCACAACTTCCCTATCCCTGCTGTGGGGGATGTTGCTTTTCACGTACCATATTTTTCTGTGTATAAGACACTACTTTTTCCTAAAATCATTACACTAAAAATTGAGGGGCATCTTTTTCACACAAGTAAGCTGAGATAGCTGAGGACAGAACAAAATGGTACATACCTTGCCTCTGTAAACAGGCTTCCTTCAGTCACGAGACTTAGCTTCCTATAGTCAGAAGACTTAGCTTCCTCCAAACACGAGCCTTATGGAACTGATGTCAGCTGATGCTGTACAAACCAATTGGAAGACACCTCATTGGAGGTGGAGCCTGTAGGCTCAGATTCAACAGGGACTCAATGTCCAAGTGTTCTGAGCCCAGAGACTGAATCCTGAAAACTAAGTTTTCTTAATTTTTGAGTTAGAAAAGGGGGGGTATCTTATAAATGGGGGCGTATTATAAATGGAAAAATACAGTATCATTTCGTTTTGCTTTGTTGGTGTTTTGGCACATGTGTGTGGAGGTGGGACTGAAATTTGAGTTACTATAAATGGAAGCAAAGCAGTCCTTTGGAGTTTTTCAGTTAGGTGGATGTGTCTTGTCTACATCGTCGTCCTGCCCATGTTACAATGCAACACCACAGTGTACCAAGCTTAATGCTATTAGTGGATCTGCCTCTTGAAAAAGGTATACTGTAATTCTTTCCACTTCAGCAATGTGTTCTATCTATGGTAAGATACAGTCAACCATGGCGGTTTCAGCTGAGCTGATTTGGAAAGCCCTCTCTCTCCTAGCATTTGGTCTGTGCAGTTAAATGGGAGGAGGCAGAAACATACATTGTTTGTTTAAAGATTTATCAGTCAGAGTTCAGTAGATATTTACTTTGGTTTTAGCTAGTTTAGCCTAGTAGACTATCTATAGTTTCTTTTGAAAGATTATACTCAGAGCTGAACTAAGTGTTGCTACCCTTGCCTTTGCCATAGTTTGCACATTTATGGGGATGTAAATGGTTCTTCCTCTAAAGTTCTGATGAAAACCTAACTTGTGCCATATTCTGCTGAATTGCTGTTGCTGAAGAAGAAAGATTAGAACCCATCACATCATCCTTGGTTTGCTTAGTCATATGCATACTCTTTTTTCTGGGGCATTACCCCTGTATTTTTGAGGGGTAGGTTATTGGGTATAGCAACCATTTAAAAAGTTTGGGACACTACATGATGCCTTTAAGGCTGCAATACTAATAACATTTCCAGGGAGTAAGTCCCATTCAATACAGTGCCAGTGATTATAGAGTAAGCATGGATAGGATTGCAGTTGTCAATTGCATTACTGCAAAATCTGTATTTTTATTTTCTCATATATCTTTTCTTCGTAGACAAGCTCAGACAGTGACAATGAATCCAGTTCGAAGGCGGTCATCCTCTAGGTTGTCTCTGGTAAGTTCTCTAGCTCTGACCTCTTTATTGTTCTTTGGCTTTTTAAATAATTACAGTAAAATCATTTATTAATGGGAGTAAGTTTGCTCCTTAAAGAAGAAAAACACTGTTCAGATATGTTGGCGTAACTAGAAAGAGAGGGTTTCTGGTAGGTTTTAGGCTTTCTGTATTATTCTAGGTCAATGTTAAAGAATACAGTTCCGTATTAAAGTTTCCTTGCACTTTGAAACAAGAACAATTCACTTGTTTCTATGAATCAAAAGATGAGAATCTGTTTCTTAGCAATAACTAGTTTTAGTTAGGACAGGCAAGTACATCTTTCCCAAGAGGGCACTGGAATATGTGTTTCCATACACCGATCAGCAGAGACCCAGCTTTCACCTCTTAACAGAGGGATTGTTTATCTAGTAATTTCCTGGAGATTTTAACAGTGTGTGAGAATTCACATTGTCCTGTCTTCCCAACAGCTGAGGAATGAACTCATAAACTGCAATAAATAGGATTTTTTCCCCTCAGTTCTGTTCTTATCGCTTTCTTTGAACAGTGGTGGCAACAGTTTAGCTAGCTGATCTGAATCATTAGTCAGTTCATTCAAATAAATTAAGTGAGCAAATTGAGAGAAGTTACTGTGAAAGTTCAGGCTCCAAAGTAATGTCAACACTGAATGAATGCCAAATTTTGCAGCACTGTCCTAGGCAAATTTGAATGTATTAGTACCGTCTCAATTATGTAATGCCATAACATTTAGCTTAACCATACATATTCATACTATTGTCAATGTAACTTTTGATACGTGAGCATGCTTTACAGGGAACATTGGCAGGATACTATTCTCTCTACCTCTGTAAGAAAAGAATGGTGGACTAGACAGGCTTATATTCTGAACTAATATGGTTCATATGTGTTTCACTTCTGTTTTACTATTCCTGTTTTGCAACGGATGAAGTATAGTAAAAGAAAAAGACTTGCTAAAAAACATTGGATTAGCCTTTTGAAGGCCTGAAGATGAAAAAAAAGCATGGAGTCTCACAATAGCTTCATCTCTGGTTATTTTGAAGTAGCCAAAATCCTGTTGCACAGTTGAGCAAAAGGCATAATTTTTAGAGATGAATTGCTATAGGTTAAGAAATCTCTGCAGACATTTATTTGTTGTTTGCCAAGTCGCTCAGCTTAACATGTACTGTAATATATAATGCCTGTGGAGATTCCTTAATTTATGGCAATTCATCTCTAAAAGTTATACCATTTGTGTTATTGCACAAGAGGATTCAAGCCATTGTATGTTGGTTGTAAAGAGCAAACTGCTGGTTTCACAATCTCTTGATTTAAGTTATGATAAGAGCCTTGAAACTGTTAGAGCAGTAGGACAATTGGGTCAATTACCTTAGGAGCTGGTGAGCACTCCAATGCTGGAGGCATTCAAGAGAAAATAGGATAACTATCTGTCAGATCTGTTTTGATTTGTATTCCCGCATTCATCAGGTGGATGACCTTATTAGCCCCTTCCAACTCAATTATTCTACAATTCTGTGATTTTAAGGAGATGGTGAAACCTGCAGTTCTTACTCATTCCACCCCCAGCAGAATCGTACCCAGCTTTATAGTATCCAGAATCATTCCCTTTATTAAGAAAAGCCCTGCTGGATTCCATCTTGTCCAGCATTCTGTTCTCATAGTGGCTAACTTGTTTCACATAGAAACCCCAGGACCAGGGCTGGTTAGGCCTAAAATATAAATGTGCACAAGACTGTAGTTGTTCAGTTCCAACTACAATCCTAATGTAGTAGATAGTCTCTTGGTTCAAAATCAGCACTTAACAGAAACTTTATACTAGAGAGTGTCCTAGCAACAGCACAAGAAGGGGTGGGGGAGCCGTCATCATCAATTTGCTTCACTCTGATCAGTCTCCCTTCCTTCTCCAGGGCTAATCCCTTTTATGTGGCCTGCTTTGCTTTTCCCAAGGAGGAGGTTGTCCATAACCATTTCCTAAAATCATGTATAACTGATTCAACTACCAACTAGCCACCTCTTTATTAAGTTCTTCTTATAAGGAAATATGACACTATCTCTGTTACACTATCTACTATTTGCAGAACTTTGTGAATAATTCCTCGCTAATAACCTGGGGTTGGCTGTAGAATGCTTATTGGCTTAATGTAGATATTGTTAATCAGTTGATAGACAGATGCTTCTTCAGCCTGTGCTTTGTTAACCCCAGCAGAGGTATTCTGGCTAATCATGTTTGATCATACTGATCTGTCAGAGTGCAGGCATCTGGGTTCAGTGTTTTAATGATGGTCTCGGAGAATCTATGGTGCACATGGACACAGCAACACTCCTTCTAATTCTGAAGGACTTCTTCATTAGCTATTATTTAAACCAGTCCTTTTGCACCTTGTTTCTTGCAATCAGAGCTACTTTGAAATTAAGTTTTGCAAAAACTCTGCATCCATATTAAGGTGCACTCAAGCATTCAGACCAGATTAAACGTTCTTCTGTTAATACGTCTCATCTGTGCCTCCATTTAAATTCTATGCTATCTTTTCAGCAGCCCAAACCACAACCTTTTATGATGACACCTGCCCCACCTCAGTTGCACTACAATGGACACTACGCAGAACCATATACATCTTCACAAGGTAAAAATTCAGTTTGATAGAGAAGCTCAAGCATCTCGTCCTCTAGCTGTGTTAGGGACTTTGTCGGGGCAACTTGTCCCAAACTGGAAGAGCCTGAGAGCCTGTTATGCTGTTAAGTTATTAATGCTAAATAGCTCTCAGCCTAGTCAGTGTCTGGATTAAGATGCTACGCAGGTTTGTGCCACCTGTTTAGGATGTGGGAATATGACTTTATATCAGGTCAGAGTCTTCTTCCACCCTACCACTGTCTATTTTGCCTGGCTGAAGATTCTGCCACCATTTACTACCCAGATATTTAATTTGGGACACTTTTCGCAGCATTTGTTCTAATACTGACCGATGCCCCCTCTTCAGTGTATTTGGTTCCATGTTTCCAAGTGGGAGACAAAATACAGTGGTGCCTAGACTTGCAACCATAATCCGTCCCAGAAGATGGGCGTAACTCGAAATGGTCGTTAAATCGAAGTGCCATTTCCCATAGGAATGTATGGGGATGGGATTAATCCATTCCAGCATTTAAAAAAGCAAAAACAAAAGAAAACCACAAAACAAAACACGGCATTCCCCATCGGAACATGATGGGGCTGCAAAACAACAACAACAACAACAAGCACACAAACGAAAAAGAGCACTGCGAGTCCTAATGAAATGCAATGGGGCTGCAAAAAGCAACAACACATAAACAAACAAAAACACAAACACAAATAAACAAAGCCAGTCCCATCAGAACATGATGAGGCTGCAAAAAATAATCACCAAACAAACAAAGAAAACCAGTCCTATCGGAATGCAATGGGGCTGAAATAAACACACACACACACACATAAAGTGCTGCAAGCCCCATTGGAACGCGATGGGGCTGCAAAAAAATAAAATAAAAAAGCACGGAAACATAACCCCCCCCAGCCCAAACCCACCCTGCAAAACCCTGTAAATGTACTCACCCAGGAGCAGAAAGCAGCACCAGGCAGTCCAAAGCCTCCTCCAACACACACACTCTAACCATTGGGGCGAAAGAGCTACTTTGTAGCTCTTTTGCCCCAATAGTTATTTGAATTCCCCACCTTTTTCCCTGCTCTTTTCTGGTTGCAACTTAAAGCTCCGGCCGCAAGTCGAAGCAAAATTTTGCAGCTGGAGGTGGTCGCAACTCGAAATGGTAGTATGTTGGGATGTTCGTAAGTCGAGGCAGCACTGTATAGGAGCATTAAATAACTAAAATAGGATGGGTGAGCTTAAAGATCTGTGCAACCATGATAATTTGCCTTGTATTTATTTATTTATTTATTTATTTGATTTCTATCCCGCCTATCTAATCAATTAAGATTACTCTAGGCGGCTTGTGGTTTTGTATCAGGTCGTAATTCTAAGGTTGCTGGATAAGCAAGTACAGTTAACTACTACTAGAACAGTGGTTGCCAACCTTGGGTAACCCAGGTGTATTTGAACTGCAACTACCAGAAACCCCAGCCAGCACAGCTGGTAGCTTGTGGGAGTTACAGTCCAAGAACCACTGTCCTAGATGATAAGGAGGAAGATATCACCAGACAGCCTTCGCTTACCTCTTGTACAATATTGTGGAACCTGTTTCATTATGAGGCCCTAATTCCCTTTACTTTCTAAAAGCTGGATCTCAGAAGTAGGCATAGTTAAAGCCAAAAGTGGGCAGGTTCAAAGCCACATCACCACCTTTGCATGGTGGGGTTCCCCAATACTGTGCAATGTGGGATCAAAATGGCCTCCCATTTCATTGCTGTTATTATTAAAGCATGAGAGAACAGGCAGTCACCCAGTGGGACTTTTGCATGTACCCAAACTTTCTCCCTAGTTTTATCCTTCATGTATGTAGGACTAACACCTCCACAGGGTTAGTTCATACATGCCTGCCATACCCTTCACTGAACATAAACTGTTTCCTATAATGGGTTAAAATGAGATACTCAGTATTTAAATGATGTGATTGTTGACAGTGAAGTTGTCAGAGATTTCTTTGTGGACATAAACTCATATGGTTGTGTTACTAACGCAAAATTTAGGTGTGGTCCAGAGGGTTGATTCTTTTGCCATGACCATTGTATATCTTTTGGGTGTTTCTGTGAATGACCATAAATACTTATGTATTTCAGATAATCTCTATGGGAATAACCAGAATGGCTATTATTGCCACTCTCAGACCAGCTTGGATAGACCGCCGCACGACTACAATGGCAGAATCCGCAACGGCAGCGTCTATAGCGCTCACAGCACCAGCTCTTTGAATAATCCTCAGCACTACCTGCAACCATCTCCCATGTCCTCCAACCCGAGCATTACAGGCAGCGATGTCCTCAGATCTGATTATGTCCCGTCTCATCGGCACAGTGCCCTTATACCACCTTCTTATCGGCCTACCCCAGATTATGAGACTGTCATGAAGCATCTTAACCGGGGAATGATACATTCAGACAAGCAGAGTCATTCCATGAGAAACCTCAACATTGGAAATTCATATGCCTACAGTAGGCCTGATGCCATGGTTTACAGTCAGCCAGAAATTCGAGAACAGGGGAATTATACCTCCCCGCACTCTGCCCACTATCCGTTTAATCTGAACTATAGTTTCCACAGCCAGTCCCCTTACCCTTACCCTGCAGAAAGGCGCCTAGTGGTTGGAGCAGTGAGTGTTCCTGAATTGACAAATGTCCAGTTGCAGGCTCAAGATTATCCTGCACCGAACATTATGAAGACTCAAGTGTACCGCCCTCCTCCTCCTTATCCTTATCCCAGACCAGCTAACAGCACCCCAGATCTGTCCCGACATCTTTATATCAGCAGCAGCAACCCCGATCTCATCACCCGACGGGTCCACCACTCAGTCCAGACGTTTCAGGAGGACAGCTTGCCCGTTGCCCATTCCCTCCAGGAAGTGAGTGAGCCCTTGACGTCAGCCCGCCATGCTCAGCTGCAGAAGAGGAACAGTATTGAGATCGCTGGCCTGGCCCATAGCTTTGAAGCCATGAGGATGAAAGAGAGGACCATGTCGGCTTCTGCTGCAGATGTGGTCCCGCCAAAGGTGGTTCCTGCTGGGTCACAGCCCGCTGTTTTCCTGGAGAGAACCAAACAAGAAGAAAATGAAGAAACAGAAGAAAATGTGAACTATGGGCATAAAAAGTCTCTTTCAGATGCCACTATGTTGATCCACAGCAGCGAGGAAGAGGAGGAGTTTGAAGAAGAAAGCAAAGCAAATCCAGCTCTTTCTCCATTCACTGATGGAAACACCCAGCTTCCTTCTATCATGGGTTGCTATCCTCCTGAATCCTTGCTGAACTACCCTTACAGTTCTGTTGCTTCCTCGCCTGGGCCTTTACATATACATGAACCTAAATTGCACATTACTGAAACTGAGAAGAAGGTAAAAGAGGTGAGCCCCGTCCACGTCATGGCTGACATTGAAGTACAGAGGAGAGGAGATGGGCTGTTGACTCCTTCTGTGTCCGAGTCAGACCTGACGATGTCCACAAGGTACAGAGTGCGAAAGGATTCCATAAAGAAAAGACCTGTATCTGAATTACTTGCAGGGAAGAAGAACATAGTAGAAGGATTGCCTCCTTTAGGGGTGAGTTCTTGAGGATTTCCCTCTTTCTCCTGGGCATGTGTTTGAGGTCCCTTTCCCCCCTGATGCAGTCAGTTTCTATGACCTAAGTGCATTGTTAAGTATGGGTAGATCTGCTGAAGCAGGATCTGAGGGTGAAGTCTTTACCAGTCCGTTTGTCTCTGAGTAGACATGCATGAGTATGTGGATCAGAGCATGGAAAAGTTGCATGCTGGCTAGGGGATGTTGGGAGTTATAGTATAAAACAGCAACTTTTTACTCTAGAAAAGATCCCGAGAAGATCCCGCTTTTCTAGAGTTGCAGATAGCTGAATGGGGAGCCAAACACATGCAAAGACTGTGATCCACTCCTTTACCCTTTACTCATTGCATTCCACCTCAGGGCCAGCAATGTGGCATCAGTAAGTCAATTTCATAAGTTACAGAACCTCAGCCTGAACCAGTTTTAGCTACACAGTCTGTGGAGGATCAGCCCATCACAATATCCTAGGTCCAGTATACAGATAGGATCACTATATGTGCAGCATCACACCTAATTCCTGCCATGATGATATGAGGATTTCTTCATAAAATTCCTTTAAGAATGAATGGTTTTTGTAATGTGTGAATGAGCCTCGTGGCGCAGTGGTTAAAACGCTGTACTGCAGTTAAAACTGTGCTCACGACCTGGGGTTCAAATCCCAGGTAGCCGGCTCAAGGTTGACTCAGCCTTCCATCCTTCCGAGGTCGGTAAAATGAGTACCCAGCTTGCTGGGGGGGCAATGTGTAGCCTGTATAATTAAAATTGTAAACCGCCCGGAGAGTGCTTGTAGCGCTATGGGACGGTATATAAGTCCAATAAATAAATAAAAATAAATAAGAGGAAACAAAATAATTTCCCACTCTTCATCGAAGCAAACTGCTCTGGGAATTTTTAATCAAAGGGTGACTGAGAATAAGGGTGAAATTTAGATCAGAGCATGGAAAAGGGTGACTGAGAATAAGGGTGAAATTTTTAAATATTAAAAATTACATGTTCAAATTGATTTTTTGTTACTTAATGGCATATTTCACTGTATTGTAAGAGCAGGACAGCAGCCATTATCATCTCAAGGTTCTTGTGTGATGTATCTTTTTCACCCTTTGCTGATGTCTCCAAACACAGAGAAGCTCTTTTTCTTCAAGTTTTCTCTGTCCCATGTTTGCCCTTGTCTTCAGTTCATATTTCTTCCCTCTAAGTTGTGTTACTTTGGCACGGTAATTTTTTTTCACTGTCAGAGATATTTGCCCCTTAACTTGGCTTGTTTTGTTTGTTGTTGTTTAGTTGTTAAGTCTTTGTGACCCCATGGACCAGAGCACGTCAGACCCTCCTGTCTTCCACTGCCTCCCGGAGTTGGGTCAAATTCATGTTGGTAGCATCGGTGACACTGTCGAACCATCTGTCCTCCCCTTCTCCTTTTGCCTTCACGCTTTCCTAACATCAGGGTCTTTTCCAGGGAGTCTTTTATTCTCATGAGATGGCCAAAGTATTGGAGCCTCAGCTTCAGGATCTGTCCTTCCAGTGAGCACTCAGGGTTGATTTCCTTCAGAATGGATAGATTTGATCTCCTTGCAGTCCAGGGAACTCTCAAGAGTCTCCTCCAGCACCACAATTCAAAGGCATCAATTCTTCAAGAGTCTCCTCTAACACCACTTGTTTTGTTAGCAATGGTTAACTAGTTAAGATTGCAGTCCTATACAGATAATTACAGTTGTATGTAGTGTAACTTACTTCTGAGTAGACATACATAAGTTTGCATTGTACTTTACATAGATGGAAGACAGTAGCAAAGAATACATTTTCAGGAGTTGGTACTATTGGCAGTTCTATTCAGCACAACTAATTTTAATGCTTGCTTGCTTGCTTCCCTCTCTACTCCATCTTTCACCTTGCAGATGGAAACTTGTTAAGTTTCTCCTGGGGCATGCATATGCCTAAATTCTTCTTTTAATTAAAATATTAGAACCATAATTAAATATTGTTACTCAGATGGGACAGACTTGGGCTACAGATGATGGACAATGTGCAGTCCTCCAGATATTGGACTGTAACTCCCATTAGTCTTACATTTGAAGTCGCAGCACAGCCACATCTGGAAGACCACAGTTTAGAATATACTCAGTGGACAAGGTATAGTGCAGCACAGCCACGTCTGGAAGACCACACTTTCTCCGGTTTTAGAATATACTCAGTGGACAAGGTATAGTTCCCATATATAGTGATCTCAGGGCTTAACAGTGTGCTAAAAGCTATATGCTGGCTAGATAGTTCAGTGAGTTGGATACTTTAGTGGCTTTGGAGCCAGAGTTTAGCAATTTGATTCCTCACGGTGCCTCCCTGGAGAAGAACCGGCCTGTGTAGTCTTGGGCAAGCTGCACGGTGCCAGAGTATCGACAGAAGAAGGGCATGGTAAACCACTTCTGAGTACACTCTATAACAAGAAAACCCTGGAAGGAGTTACTATAAGTCAGAATCAGCGAGTATACTCTATAACAAGGAAACTCTGGAAGGAGTTACTATAAGTCAGAATCAGCTTGATGGTACATGATGATTATTCTTTGAAGCCTGTAGAGCAGACTTTGGGAAAGTAACCATACTAGCTGGGAGACTCTGGGAACAATATTTTTAAAAGCTTCTTTCGCAAGCTCTGCGATATATTCAGTGTAGATTGCAGTCTTCTGAAACCTTTCTTGATGATTTGAAGTAGATCAGCCAGATGTCTGATTCCCAGTTATTTACCAATCACAGCAACAAAATTGGTATCCTGTATTCACTTGCAATTACCTTGCTAAATCCATGAAAGCTTGGGATAATCAAGAATGAATTTTTGTGTTTAAGGAGCAGTATTCAGTTTTGGTAATCTTCCTGAAAACAAATTTCTGAGTTCAGAATTTTTATATTCTATGCAAATGACTTTTGTTGTTTTGCCTCTCATTGGTTAAGTGAAAAAAATGCCATAAATCTAAATTCTGACTACTCATAGTATAAGTCTTTGTAAGGAGACAGAATATTCTCTCCCACTGCTTCGGTTTCCTGTACTGGCTATTTGCTTGTATATAATATTTTACAGATCATTTTATAATGAAATTTCTTTTAACAGTTTATGCACAATGTTACAAAACCAACACACATCTAGAATACACATATTATACAATTAAGGAGAAAGTGCTAGAGATTAGGGCAGGGTCACAATCCTAGAAAATCCTGGAAAGGACCCTTGTAAGCAAGAATCAACTTGATAGCATGCATTTATTATTATATTTTAATTTATCTTATTTTGTTTTGCTTTTATTCTTTATGTTTTCTGACTCTCTAGGTGTGAATGGAACACACTTGATTCTGCTCCCCACAAAATATGTCTAGATGTGTAGCACTTTGATACTAATAGTTTATTACCAGGGCTTGAAAAATTTTAGAATGTCTCACCTGTCAGTCAAAAATTTCACCAGTCAGCATGACTGGACTTCAGCCTTGCAGTTTATTGGGACTGGGAATCACTGCTTTATACCCTCAGACTTGGGTGGCTTTATTACCTGCATGCCTGTGGGGTCATAAAGCTTGTATTTTGAATGCCTTTGTTTTGAATGTCTCCAGCAAAAATAAAACTGAAAGCAAAAGTGCCCGGCCTCTTAAGGAGCCATGTTCCCTCCCACCCCAGTATGTGTTCTCGTTCGGTTGAAATTGGGAGCAGGGAATCTCCATATTCTCCAGCATGGGACTGCTCTGCATTCTCCTGCAGTGCTATATATCTATGTACCACTTGAACTCTCTTCTCGTGAGAAGAGGACAGTTTTCCTTTTGCAATGGAAGGGGGGAGGGGAGGACTGCAGGACTGGAGTGAGAGAGGCAGGTGGAGGGGAAGGAGGCAGGCAGGGAGGCAGCTGTGACTCATCGAGCAGCATTTTTCACTTGTCACAGACAAGTGGACGAGTGCATTTTTCAAGCCTTGTTTATTATTATGGCCTTATATATTAGGTTTTGTGCCGGGCTCAGAAAATATCCCACAGTTCATGTTTGTTTGTTTGTTTGTTTGTTTGTTTGTTTGTTTGTTTGTTTGTTTGTTTGTTTGTTTGTTTGTTTGTTTATATGCCGCCCACACTACCCAAAGGTCTCTGGGCGGCTTACAACA